TTTGAGAGTGAGGAGGCTAAATATCTGTCAGAGCTGCAAGCCGATCTTTACAGGTGAGACTGAACGAGTCCTCCTTTTGGCAGTAGCCCTACACTGGAGGAAGCAGTAATGTTAAACTGTGCATTAATAACTCTGTCTGTTTTCTAATGTTGATTTTTCTATTTTACTTGATTACATAGAAGTAGCAAAGAGGGTAATTGTTATTTTTCCCAAAATGTCTTTCCATTAAATGTAATTTGGTACTGCACACTGTGAATTTTTTTTATTACTAGTGAAGTGATAATGCTGTCCGTTTATAGGATCAGAATAACCACGAGCAGGAGAACTTTACAATTAACATGACATGCCAGTTTTGCTGGCAGCTTGCAACAACTGATTATGTATGTACCAATTCTACAAACTGCATGACGGTTTCTTGTCCACGACAACGATATAATGCCACTTGTACAGTACGGGATCATATTCATTGTCTAGGTAAGGTGGGCTGAGACAGATTCTGTAAAGAAGCTTTTTTCCTAAAGAATTTCCGAACATTTTTTGTCATGGGTCAAAACAACGATTCTTTATGTCCACTGCAGTAACAGCCTGCACCTTGATTAATCTATTGACATTTTTATAGTTACATTTTGATTTTTAAGCATAATAGTGACATGTAACTGTAAACATTGGCTTTTAATGCTGTTGTATACCTTCACATGAGAGAAAATAGATCTGTTTCATTTTTGTCAGCCTCTATGAATAAAACTAATTTGGACACCACTAATAGAATCAATATCAAATGTCTCAGTGGGGTAATTAAACAAAATTCATGCTGGTTTCACCCAACTAGTTTAATTTTTCCCCTATTTCTTCAGTGACCTTGCATGTTTTCTGATGCGGGACATAGACTGATGGAGTATATATACGCTTTTGTGTTGACGGTGTTTGTTTCGATTAATGTCAACCCTTTTAGACTCTTGTTAGAGAAATGCAGTATCTTCTTGCTTGTCATTTTCTTACTCATTATGTGCTCTTTGTTTGTTACATTAAGGTTTGAATGTTTTTTAATGTTTAGGTAATCGTGTCTTTCCTAAGATGCTGTATTGCAACTGGACCGGAGGTTATAAGTGGTCTACTGCCTTGGCACTAAGGTACATGAGAACTCTATTAGATAACATCAAGCTAAAATAGATAATATTATTAGAAGTAAATTAATTGTCTATAAAATCTTTAGTTTGTGTGTTTTTCTGCTTGGTATTTTTTACTGGTGTACTTGAGTAACCAGTAGTTCATATAGTCTAGTTTAGAATTTGGAGGTGTAGGATGGCCAAAGATCTCTCATGCGGCGATACTAGCTGTCTTCAGTAAATAGAGCTTGAGAGAAAACATTTACCCTGCTTCTGCACGGAATGTACTTTCTTCAGAGTAAACGCCAGTGATTCTTAGGCTTCACAAAGTGATCCATTTGCCGAGTAGAGAGGGCACGCTTGCTTTCATTCTGTATGGTATCAAATGAGGTGGAAATGCTCAAAAAATCTGCAGATTTATGGTTTTTTTCTCCTAGTTTTTTATATGTTTTAAACAATGAGGGCTGAAAATTGTCCAAATTACTTTTTGGCATCTGAAATGAATGCAGCAGTTTCTGAATTTGATAGATGTCGCTGAGCTGGCTATTTGGTATACGTAACATTTGTTATGGCTTCCTTCCCAACTGTAACAGCTGGAAATGCCTTAAGATGGAGTTTCTTGCATTTTAAATTATTAGGGAAGAGACCAGTGTAGCAGTATTGAAAGAAACTATTTAGGTTATTTTTGGAATGTTAAGCCACTAGAGCACCACAATAGCGATTTGAAAGTAACTGAAGTTCTCTTGGAGGTAAGACCTTTTTCATTAAATTTTAATATTTCCAAAGTGGTTAATATGATCAATTAGGTAGTAAGACTCTCTGTTCCTGGAGCCAAAGATACAATAAGACTCTGATTAAGAAAGCGATGTAACACACTTTCCTTTATAGCAAGAGTTGTTCTCTCTGCCGCCAGCCGGAGAAACCTACTGTTGCCTGACTGCTGCGTGGGGCTGAATAGAGCGTTTGGGTCTGTTTCTATAGCTTGGTTGTTGGGGTTTTTTTAGCTTCTGATAGCTTAGAAAAGTCAAAATACGTTTATAAATGTGAGAGTTGTGGTTTTTATTGCTTGTCATGAATGAAAAACTGTCAAGTCTCTGGGTAGTATTAATTAGCTACAAAATAGCGCTACTTCATCAAAAGCGTTCTCATTTAATAACCCAGTCGGCTCTTTTTGTGCAAAAACTGTATAGTTTCTTGACTGATGTAGAGCAAAACTATCGTCAACTTGTGGGTATGTCAGAAAGAAGTGTGTATGCATACCCAAACTGAGTTCATCTAAAAATAATAATAACAAATCGTGTTTCTGTTCTTACAGCATCACCCTTGGTGGATTTGGTGCCGATCGTTTCTATTTGGGCCAGTGGCGGGAAGGTCTGGGAAAACTCTTCAGCTTTGGTGGACTGGGCATATGGACATTAATTGATGTGCTGCTAATAGGTGTTGGCTATGTGGGACCTGCAGATGGTTCTCTTTATATTTAAATGTGGGTGCAAGACCTTTCAGAGGGGAGTAGTTGCTTGGAAAGGGCTTTAAATAGATGACTGTAGAGATTTGAGCCTTTAAGGTAGAATGAAGAACGACTGTTCTTTTTATGTGCATATATTTTAATGTACAGTATCTGTACTTAGTTTGCCTTTAACTAAGGTAAAATAAAGGAGTGGATCACCGAGTAAGTTGAAATTCATTTTCTTCCTTCTATGGACATGCGATTTTTCTATGAAAAAAGTTGAACAGCTAACCAAATTCTGCACTGTGCTTGAACTTGGATGACCTGTCAAGCACCAAAGAGATGCAAACTAACTTGGACATTGAGTTGATTACTTCATATTTGTATGCTTGAATTTAACTTGAAAGCTAACTTACCTAAATATGTCAGTAATATATTCTTTTTTCATGTTTGTGAGAGGATAATGTATTTGCCTGAATTACTCTAGCAGTATGCAGATCACCGTGCTTTAGGATGTTAATTACATTCATTTCTCTTCCGGGATATAGCAAGAGCTAACATTTGCGTAGTGACTTGTTGGCTTAAAACGGTGGGGTTTTTAGAATTAGATTGCAGGTAACACTAAAATCTAAATATGAAATACCTGAAATAGGTTTGGGGATTGTTCCAGAATGTCTTTATTTTGGTTGGGTTTGACCTGCATATCAGTCAAAGGTACAACTCGTATTCCTGTGCTGGTAAGCTTGCCAAGCTCATTTTAAAAAAGGGTTGGCAATATAGTCGATGCGTTTATGCACGTACGGCTTCGTAACAAGATAACGTAGCACGCTGTAGTGCCATTAGGAAGAGTAACTTCGTGGAGTTCACCGAAGCCCCCGAGGGTGGCTGCCCGCCTCCCGGCCCGGCGGCCTCTTGCCGTGCCCGCCCCCTCCCGCTGGGCTTGCACTGTCGCTCGTGTCGTACTAAGGTGCGGTCACTCGGAAAATCCTATCACTTGAATAAACTTGTACTTGAAGCTTTCACGGAGTTCAGTACTACTCATGGTGGCTCGTACGGCCTCGCCCTCGCTCCTGCTGCGCCCGTCTGTCCGTGCGCCGCTGGGGGACGGCGGGAGCGGCGCGGGGCGGGGCGGGGGGAGCGGCGGCTGCTCGCCCGCATGGGCGGG